ACGTGAAATACGTTGATTCTCTCAGAAAATAACTTTTTATTGAGTAGTTACTATGTCATTTTCATAAGGTCATTTGTGATAATAGATTCTGGATGAATAAATAAAGAGGCTTCTATGGTTATATAATGTAATGTTATCACAGGAATGACATATCAATGCCTTTGCCATATCTATGAGTTAGAAGAACAAGCCCTGCCCACACACAAGGGAAAGGAACAACACAAGGGCACAAACACGAGGAGAGAAGGGCAAGGGGCCATCCTCACGTCTTCCCAACAGAGAGGCAAAAGAGGTAAGTGTATTCCTTACAGGATTCTCCGTAGAAACAGGACCAATACGATGGAGAAGAGGTGGGAGGGAGAGAGAGAGAAATACAGATTTAGTATAAGAACCTGGCTCATGTGACTTTGGAAGATGAGAAGTCCCAAGATCTGCAGGTGGCAAGCTAAAGAGCTAGAAAAGCCAATGGTGTAAGTTCTAGTCTGAGCCCAAAGGCCCAAGAACCCAGAGAGCCAGTGGTGTAAATTCGTCTGAAAGCCAGGGGCTTAAGACTTAGGAAAAACCCATGTTTCAGATTCAAGTCCAACAGCAGGAAAAGATCCATGTCCCAGCAAAATGCAGTAAGGCTGAGTTCCCTCTTACTCGAGGCTCAGCCTTTTTTTTTCCCTATCCGGGTCTTCAACTGATTGGACGAGGCCCACCCACATCAAGGAGTGCAGTATGTTTACTCAGTCTCCCAATTCAAATGTGAATCCCCATCCCCAAACACCCTCACAGACACGCCCAGAATAACGTTTGACCAAATGTCTGGGCACCTTGTAGCCCCTCAAGGTGACACATAAAACCAACCATACAATAAAGCCTCCCATCTTAGGGATCAGACTCTGAAACTGGGAGGAATGGTCCTTGACAAGGACGGGGGCAAGCTGGGTGCCTAGGGTATACAACTTGAGATGAACATCATTCCCAGGGTTGTCCAAGTGCAGGGGTGGCGCCAAGGGTGAGGGCTTCCTCAAATTGCACACCTAGATTCCTCGCTCACCTCACTGAAGCCAGGACCCTGGTGAGGACTGGTGTAAAGTGCTCACAGCTGGGGACAGTGGGTCCCTCAGTGCAGCTGAGGGAAGAGGTGCATGGTGTGGGGGACAGGCAGGGGACCTGGGGAGCTGAGACCAGACTTCGATGGCTGCAGCCCCCAGACAGGGGTCCTGGGAGCCTGTGCCTATGAACCCCACAGATGGAAAGGACAGACAAAATCCCGAAAGGGTGAATTCAAGCAACCACCCACCCTCCTGCTGCCTAGACTTCCAAGAGAGATACCTCAAAACATCAAAGTTAAAGCTAAGTAGTATGAAAAGTCATCAGAGAAAAGGCAGGTTACCCACAAAACAATGGCAATTAGACTTACAACAAACTTTTCATCCTAACAAGAGGTTCCAGGAAGGAGGGGATGTCATCTTGAAGGTGAGGGGGAAAAATTACTGACAGTCTAATACAAATAATAATAAATAATAGCAATCAACTTCTGAGCACTTCATATGGCAAGCCAGAAATCTGTACTCAACAGAACAATCGTTTCATTAGAGTAAAATAAAGACTTTCAGACATACAAAGAATTTATTAACCATTGGCTCTCACGGGAAAACAAAATCTGCATGAGGATGAGTAGTGATGGAGAAAACTAGATTACCAAACCTATTTAACAGTTAACTGTAAGAAATTAGTAATAATTTCTATTTTGTGTTTTAAAAATGATAGTATTGAAAATGATAAGAAGGAAAATACAAGGATATGTAATAAGTGTCTGAGATAATTTGTGCCTCATGAGAATGGTTGACATAAAGAATATATTTAGAGCTTGGAAAAATGATGAGTTGAGCATGAATATTGGAAATAAAGATTAACAACACAAAGAATAGAAATATTCATCATCACATAGTAAATCCATAACATGATTGTGCACCTGTTCTGGGGGGTTGAGGGGAAGGCCTCTTCTAGGCACTGATGATACAGAGAAGAGTAAGACAGAAAATTCTCCTCCCACATGGATTTATTCATTTAAATAGAAATGTGTTCCCACAATAACCTTGGTTTTTTGTGCCAATGCTGAGACCCACTTCAGACTTCCTTCCCAGGAATAGGTGGTGCATGTAAACCATAGATAGGGCCTTGCTGGTCATCCAGAAAGTCTTCTTGATGAGAAATCGGACTCCACTCACAGTCCTTAGCAAGTAACCTGACATATGATACAAGTCTTCTTCATACGGGTTTAACATGAAGGGTGGCAAATAGCTGAGATTTAACACACGGACGCACCTGAACCCTGGAAGGGAAGCCATGGGCAGGGCCAGGCAGGTGTCGGGCAGGGGGCTCTGGGGATATCAAAGCACAGAGCTGGCTTGTGTGAGCCGATGTGGATCCAAGCTCCATCCTCTTGTCTGCCTGAGCTGAGCAACTTTGGACAAGTCAGTTACCTTCTCTGAGCCTCGACTTGCTCAACTGTAAAAATCACCAATCCACGAGGTTACTAGAAAAACCATACATGGTAACAGACATGATCACCCCCTTGTAGGAGCTCTCTGCGAATCAATGATAGGTGTCCAAATACTGATCGGAGGCCCCTTAACTGTTTCTTACTTCCCTCGATGTGGTTTAAGCTAGTGGAGTACGCGCCCTGGATCTTATTTATCTTTGTGTTCCTTAGTATTGCGCTAGGAACACTCTTAACAAATGTTCCTTAATTGAAGTAAATGAAATGAAAGGGGATTGAATTGACAATCTAAACATGATACAGTTAGAACACGATGGAAGACACCATCTCACTAAGGGTTGTTTTCTTGGCTTTTGTAGAAATATTATAGATGTTCAGAGAAGAGAGAGCTTAAAGGGGACCTAATAAGCATTTACTGAAGACATGCATTTATTGAACACCTGTCCTGTACCAGACACTAGACCAGCCCTTCTCCCAAACGTTACCTCATTATCCTTAAAAACACACTGAGAAAAAGTGTTATTAGCTTCATTTTACATACAAGAACCCAGGAGTTCAGAAAAGCAAAGTAAGCTGCCCGAGGTGACCAAGGTGAAATAGCAGGGACGGGGCAGGGTGAGAAGCCAGCCCTCTCTGTCCCTCTAGCCCCATCCCCTCTCCCCTCTTTCTCATTCAGCCCCAGGCAGGGGGAGGGAACACCTCTGCTTGCCTCCATTAGATTTCTCTTGTTTTCTGCCACATCGGCTGAGCTGCACTCCCCATGCCCACTTTCAGTTATAGCCTGTAAGCCTGTGCCTTGAAAAACATAATTTATTTTCTCAGTCCGAACAAATAGAAAACACAATTGTGTGTTTAAATACTAATTAACCTGTCACAGTTGTATGATTTCCCCCCTCTCTTTCTCTTCCTCTCTCTGTCTTTCTCTCTCTCTCCCTCCCTCCCCTAAACCAAAAGCACTGGACATGCAAGACAGTTCTTGTCACAATTTCTTTCCTGACCCCACCACTTGCAGGTCTGAAGCATACGCTTATTCACACCTCTGTACTTGAATTAAACTCTTTTTGGAAGAGGAAAGGACCATGGATGTGGTCACTAATGTGCTTTTCTCTCTGCATCGAAAATTCTAAGCTCCTTTTGCCAAAGGGTTCGCACGGTCCATTCCAGGGATGACTCAGTTGGCGTTCCCATGGATATTATTCCTGTCGACTGTATTATCTTCTCCTCTCTGAGATCTTTAGTGTTAAAAGGTTATGGGCTTCGAAGACAGACTACTCACTTTTTTTTTTTAACTTTATTTTAGAGAGAGAGAGCACGAGCAGGGGGCGGGAAGGAGAGGCAGAGGGAGAGAGAATCTCAAGCAGATTCCATGCTTAGTGCGGAGCCCGATGTGGGGCTTGATCTCACGACCCTGAGATCATGACCTGAACTGAAATCAAGAGTCAGACACTCAACCGACTGAGCCACCCAGGTGCCCCAGACTACTCATTCAAATGAACTTCATGCATCCACACAAACCAGCTTAAAGATTATTCCATTAGCAGCTGCATATCAGTCAACATCATGTTTTGGAGTCATGATACCTCCTTCACCTTTAAAACCTTTTGGAGAATACAGCCATGTGCATCTCTCCCCAGTCTGAGTGCCCAACTCAGAAAACCGTCTGTGATCCTCGGTACTCCTCTTTGATGAAACCGAATGACATGTCTAATTTTTGGAACGCATTGAATTTATAATGCTTGGGGGCCTATTCAAACAGAAATACAATTGGATATGTTGGTTTAAAGCTCTGTAAAGAAAGTGAAGAAGACTGGAAGATAATCATGTCTTGGATGAGAAAAAATGAGGGATTTCTAGAATAAAGGAAGGTAAATGGAATCAGATGCAACAGAGAAGTCCAAGACAATAATAAAGGGATGCATTTTTTAGAGTTTGCAACAAAGAAGCCAATGTTTTCCTCCGTCAAAATACATGTATATGCTTGGAAGTCAAAGCCACCAAATTAATTGCAGTGACTTAAAGAGAAAATCTGAGAAGAGAGAGTTGAGATGGACAGCATCGATCTTTATTTCATACAGTCTAGCATGGGGCCTGGCACACAGCAGGCTCTCAGTAGGTAAGTGCTGAATAAATGGAAATAGAAGGAAAAGCCAGTGTGAAGGGCAGGAACTTTGGTGACTTACCTTGAGAAAATGTCACAGGTTTCTATTCTCAAAACATGTCCACAATCTAGTTAGGAATATAAGTGTACAGGTAACAATTACAGTATGACTTTTAAAAGGTCTATAATAAATTGTGTGCCTTGTATTAGGGCATAAGAAAATGAGGCTGTCTGTGTGCGTCATTGACAAACAGAAGCGTGAAGTCTTGGTATTTTAACACAATCCAAGGTGCGATCTGTAAGTCAGAAACTCCATTTGACTAGTGCATGGGTTGACGACCTTCTCTTGTTAATTACATTTAACCAATCCCCTAGAGGCTGGTAATTATTCATTCATTTTTTATTCAACAGATATTGGCTGAGCTTCTACAATGTATAAATCAGAATGTCCACCTATCATAGGACAGTGGCCAGATTCTACGAGGAAGACCGGAATGTGTGCATCCGTTGGGCACAACCGCTCTCTGAAAAACAAAACAAAACAAAACAAAACTACACCAAGTTCTGTCCATTTTACTAGTCTGAATATCGCTGCCAACATGGATTTAGAGTAATGGAGTTAGTCGGGTAATTTTAATAACTCTGGACTTGGAACCATGGTAGACCAAACGACTCCATTTTTGCCATTTATAGTGACTTTCTCAGTTGACCAGATTTATGTGTGGGCAGGTTTGGGTACCCATCTCCCTTGGATATTACAGGAGAATCCAAAGGCATTCTTTTGGGAATTTCTTTTCAGTGAAAGTACAAGGTCAGAGCCAGGAGCTGACAGTGATGAGAAATGAGGGCAGGGATTGCTGCCACTTCTCCAGCATCTGGTACGTAGTAGGCATAAAGTAACTAGCTTTCGAATGGATGAGTGGATGAGCAGAGGAATGGGTTTCATGGAATAATGATACAGGATGGAGCAGATGTCCCGTTTTGCTAACCTTGCTGGTTCCAGCTGCTTTTCTCCTCCCTTGGTTTGCCTCTTCACCTGGCTCAGACTGAAATGGTTCTGGTTCTTTCCCTTTGACCGTTCATTCTCCCAGCCTCTCAAGGGAAAGATGTATATATGTAAGCATATGTGTGCCCGTGTGTGTAGTAGGACCTAAACATCGTGGTTATAACTTCAAGTATCAACCAGGAAATAGCTATCAAAACTTCTGCGCCCTCAACTTCAAAATTTAAAACTAAAAAGCAAAAAGCACTAAACTAACAACAGCCATGGAGAATAATTTCATCATCCCCATCCTACACGAGGAAAGTGAATACCAAAGTGAGTCAGTGACTTGCGGGGGCGTCCTTACTAAGAAGTGTGACAGGACCAGGGTTCAAACCCTGGTCAATTTGACTCCACCCTGGTAATGCCCAATGCATCTAACACTTGGTTTTCCTTTCAACAAAAGAAGAGATTCATCTTAGAAGTTTTTTGCAATCCCAGTATTCTCTGATGTAGTGGATTCTTATTCTTTCTCCTTAAGAGTCTAGCGTTGGGTCTTGTAGGGCATGTGCATTTATCAAGGTGGCTTAGACAAGGTCCAGTAGGTGGAGCTAGAGAGCAGACACGGGCTGCCCGTGGCGGGGGAGGAGTAGGTGGCTCTGAGGAACAGAGTACCTGGGTATTGACAGTCCTCACAGGAATAATCCCGTTAGTTGACTTCCTTCTTCAGAATGCAAATCCCTGTTATGATCTGGGCTTGGGATGGAGGGAGATGAATTCCTGAGAAGTAACTCTCCTCATCCCGAAAGATCAAGGCTAGAGGGAATAGCCCACTTAAACGAAGTTATGGGTATGTTGTTCTGTGGAAAACAGGGTAAATCAGTAAAAGAAACAAAAATCTGTCCACAGTGTCACAGGTAATCCGCGAAACCTTCCTTAAAGGCTCAGCCCTAGGTTTGAGCCTCAGTTTTCTTTTTTTTTTTTTCTTTTTTTGTGAATCAAGATCCATGTAAGGTCAAAATACTGAGATTTATTGATGTTTAAAAACCTCCCCATTTTTAAAAAATAGGCTTTATTTTTTAGAACACTTTTAGATTTACAGAAAAATTGAGAAGATACTATGGAGCGCACCCATGTACTCCACACCTAACGTGCCCCATCTCCGTGGTCCCCCCTTACCAGCGACGGGTGGAATGCAAGACCCCAAGTGGATGCTTACACTGAAGAAGGGGAGTTGGAAGAAAGGCAGGTAGGGACAAGGGGCCCCTGCCCTAAGAGAAAACCACCCTTAAAAGGATTTCACATCACCCTGGAAGGAGCCTTCCACCCTTTCCCTCGTGATAGATAGGTGAGAGAAACCTGATTGGAGGACAGGCGCAGGGAGGGTTAATCAGATAAAAACAGCCCGCCAGCAAGCCCGTAAAAACCCCTAGACATAGAACTCCGGTGACAGCCCTCTCGGGTCCCCACCCTCCTCGGGAGCTTTGTACTATTGCTCAATAAACGTTACTATCACTCAATAAACTTTGCTCTGCTGTCCACTGCTCTTCATCTGGTCTAACTCTTCATTCTTCAACGTGGCATGACTAAGAACCGCGGGCACCAAAGGAAAAGAAAATCCTGTATCAAAACCTCATATAAGACCAAATGCTACACAGACTATGATTTTTCCTGTCCATATACACACACACCTATGATAAAGTTTATAGATTAGGCACAGGAAGTGATTAACAATAATAATAAAATAGAACAATTACAACAATATGCTATCATCAAGTTACGTGAATGTGGTCTCTCTCCAAATATCAGTTGAACAATACTCACCTTTCTTAGGACGATTTGAGGTAATGAAAGGCCCGCATGACCAGACAGAGTGAGGGCGATGACGCAGGCATGTGACATAGCAGGAGGCTACTGTTGACCTTCTGACAAGGGGTTACGAGGAGGACCATCTGCTTCCAGACCTGGGTTGACTGCAGTTAACTGAAATGGCTAAAGGCAAAAGGTCAAATAGTGTTCTTGCTGCACAAACATCTCCAAACTAGGGTGGCTCATCGCTTATAATCATTGAATTGATCTCGCTGCCTTATTGTCAACTAAGTCCACAGTTTATTCAGATTCTCTTAGGTTTGACCTAATGTCCATTTCTCTATTCCAGGATTCTCTCCAGGACACCACATTATATTCAGTCATCACGTCTCCCTATGCTCCTCTCGGCTATTCCTCACACTTCACTTGTTTTTCATGTCCTGGGTGGTTTTGGGGATGTTTTGCAGGATGCCCCACTCTTGGAATTTGTCTGATGTTTTGCTCATGCTTAGACTGGGGTTATGAGTTCTTGGGAAGAAGAGAGAAGCCCATTTTCATCATATATCAAGAGTACATACATACAATCAACACGTTTTATGACTGTGGGTGTTGAACCTTGATCACCCGGCTGAGGTTATCTGCCAATAGAATTCTTTCCTCCTTGGGGAGGGGATTCATTTTTTTTTTTTTTTTAATTCAGGCCTTCAACAGATTAGATAAGACCCACCCACATTGTGGAGGATAATCTGCTTTACTCAAAGTGTACTAATTTAAGTTTTAATCTCATCGAAAACTACCTTTGAAGAAACATCTAAATTACTGTTTGACCAAATATTTGGGTATCATGGCCTAGCCAAGTTGGTACATAAAGTTAACCATTGCTGATGGGAAGAGGGGAAGCAATGCTAAGCACACACAGGGTTGGAGGACCTGGCTCAGTGTTACCCTGGTGAATTTGGAAGATCTCTGTGGGAGAGACTGGACAACTGATTTGCATGACTCTGGAAGCAGTGTGGGGGTGAGCTAGCTGCAGTCATATGGGGCAGCGGGATGGGGGGGCAGTAGGTGGGAATTCTGGCTCACTGTCTCTCTGCAACTTTGACAAGATCATTTCACCTCTCGGGTGCCTGGGTGGCTCAGAAGGTTAAGCGTCTGCCTTCAGCTCAGGTCATGATCCCAGGGTCCTGGGACTGAGTCCCGCATTGGGCTCCTTGCTCAGGAGGGAGTCTGCTTCTCCCTCTCCCTCTGCCTCTCCCCCTGCTGGTTCTCTCTCTGTCTCTCTTGCAAATGAATAAATAAAATCTTAAAAAAAAAAAAAAAAAAGATCATTTCACCTCTCTGGGCCAGCTTGTACGAATCATGAAAGCCAACAGGTGGGAGGGGATGAAATCTTGGTGGGTGAGAGAACTAACTTTATATTTTTTAAAAGTTTATTTATTGAGAGAGAGAGAGCTTGCACATGGGAGAGGGGTCGAAAGAGAGTTTTTCAGACTCCCCACTGAGTGTGGAGCCCGATGCAGGGCTCGATCCCGTGACACCTGAGATCATGACCTGAGCTGAAACCAAGAGTTGGAAGCTTAACCGGCTGAGCCTCCCAGGCACCCCAAGAATTAACTTTATTTTTAACAGCAGACTATAGGCCATGGACTATGGTAGGAAATTTATACTCATTCATTCATTTATTAAAAGCATAAACGATGGACCAGTCACTGGAAAAGGTGATCTATGTTCAGTGACTCGTTCAACAGCTTATTTATCACCAGCTATGTACAAATCTCTGCTAACTCGCGTATACCTCACAAAACAAAGTGCCGTTATGCCCATTTTACAGATGGAGAAACTGAGGCTTGGGGACCTTTTGCAACTTGCTCAGAACTCACCTCATAAGGGGAAGGGTCAGATCTAAGCCAGATTAGCCTGGCTTCGTGGCTTGTACTCCGCTATAACTTGCAATCACTCCCCACGTCTTCTATGACCGCAGATACCTCTCTTGCAGGGGCTGGGATAGCTCACAGGATCCCTCAGGACAGGAGCCACCATCCAGGGACACCTGTCACGAAGTCCTAGTGCTGTTGTCTCTGGAGATAAATTTCTCTGCGGGCTCTGGCACCAGGTCCTGATGGAGTTCTCAGTGACCATTTGCTTTGTAACATTTCCCCACTGGCCTGCCGATTCATTTGCTAGGCTGATCACGCAGAAATCAATGGGGCTGGGATGGAACTCGGCGGGCGGAAGCCTGTAAGGGCAGCGCAGGCAGAGGGGGAGAACGCTGCAACCAGAACTGAGAGCAGAAAATACAGATCAGGATAGTTATCGAGCAGAGACTGGATGCCCAGCAACATGCTGGATAGAGAGTGACGTGAGAAGTGGCCCCTGTCCTCGGGGCTCACTGTGTCCCGTAGGTCCCCCAGAGTGGAATGAGCTTTCAGAGAAGCAGTGCGGCTCCACGAGGCTCCCCCAGGGCACTGCTCCTCAGGCACACCAGCTCTCTGATCCTCACGGCTAACAGCTGGTAACGGGCGGGACAAAACCCACCCGCTATGCTAATAAAATGTAGTGCTCAAACCAAGCAATAAAAATGCCTATTCATGTGCATTTTTATGCCTCCCTGTGTAATAAAGGGAGTCACATTCCCCTAAGAGGAATTTCTGAAGTCAGTGTGCAAAATCCCTCCCTTGCTAGTCCGTTGATTTCCCAGATAAGATCCCAGGGGGCACATCCGCAGGGAAGCCAGAAGGAAGGATCTCCGTTTCTGTCCCTTTGGGGCCCAATGTGGCTTAAATGGTTTAAATCTGAGGTGCCTGCCGTTTTCGCGATTCCCTTGTCCTGGCATTCCTTCCTGGGGTTCCCTCCGGGGACTCGCCTGGGGAAGGGTGTGGGAGCGTGAGATTCTCCGTCTCCTTTCTTCCATCTGCTACGAGTTCAGTGTCTCTCTTCTTGGGGCCTCTATTAGTCCTATTAGTACACAATATGTATGTGTGTGAAAAGCTTGGGCAGCATTTTTATTCCTCACCAAAACCCACGTGACCGTCTTTGTGGATGCATACGGACAGAACGGGCTGCTTGTTCCTTCTCACTGCCCCCCGTGGGGTCCTGGACACAGCGAGGTTCTCACTCTGGATCTCCAGCTACGGAAGAGAGGATAAGACAGGGATTAAAGCAAAGCAGGAGCACAGTCAAGGAATGGAATTCCCAGGAGACGGTCGTTTTCTGACCTTTTCATGCAAGAAAATTAATAAAATACCCAATGTTTATGGCTAAGCAGAGGATAGGTTTTTAATAAACTTGCAGGCAATTCATGAAGGCATTTAAGACAATCTTCAAAAACTCACAACTGTTCTAAAAATGAAATAAAGTTAACGGGGAGGGTGGGGAGACTGTTTTCTGGAGGTTTGTTTCTAAAGTTTCTAAGCAAGAGGGCGGGGTAACTGAATGCAGAGAAAGGAAAGAGGAGACAGATGGGGGGCGGGTACATGGTTTTGGCAAGAGGAGGAGCTTCCGCGCGTGCTGGGGAGAAGGGCGCCCGTTTTCTTGTTGGAGGGGCAGGAATTTCAGGGGAACAGAGGGTGGGGGATCAAGGTCTGACAGGGTTTCCCTTCAACTCCTCTTGGGTGCCGTGAGCTTTGGGTGTGGTTTTGTCTGATTCATCATAACCTTAGTAAAGTCATCGTGGGGCCACCTGATCTGGAAACACACATACTCGGTGAAGGGCAGAGGCCTTTTTCGGTGAAGTCACTGTCTTTGTCATTTAAGTGTGTGAAATTCCTGGAGGTCTAGCCCTGCCAAGACACACCAAAGTAACTTTGAATAACTCACTTAGGCTGCCTGGTCCTAAGTGTCCTTGTCTGTAACGCGAAGGCCTGGAGCTCCGTGGCGTCTGGTGTGTGAATCCCGCGCATCTCTTGAGCGTGGTGCCCGTGCCTTGCTTGTGGCCAGAACAGGCACGTGCAGAGCCTTAGCCTGAAGCGTCCTGTGCTTTACTGAAGGAGGCAGCACAAGGCCTCTTGCATCTTAAACACAGTATCAGGCCTGTCTTAGCAGAGGGAGGCATAGTCCTGGGAGGACCCAGAAAAAAAGTGTCAATTTAATTTCAGAAACTGGCACATTACAGCATGAGAGACTTGGGTTAGCTCTCAGGCGGATCTCTGTGGCAGATTAAGCCCCAAAAGATCCTTCCAAAGTAGATGATATTATTTGTGAATTCTATCTTTGCCATGAAACTGAAGTAGTTATGTATCCTAGAGCAAGCCCTCTGTAAATATATTCAGTAATCCTACAGAAACTCAGTTTTTTGTTGTTTACAAGAGATCTTAGAATATGAGAGTGACATCGGTCTTAGCTGGTAATAAGCTGTAGTCCGGAAGGTGAGGAACACAGCATTGCCAGGTGACTTTGGGCAAGTTTCTGCACCGTGCTGGGCACTGAATCCCTTGTGTCAAAGGGAGGCTCTGGATTCAGGGATCTCTATGGCCCTTTCCTTCCCTAACCAGCTACAAATGCCCTTCTGAAATTACTTTGGAGGCAGGAAAATCCATTTCAATTCATGCATTCATGAATTCGTTCCACTGTCCTTTCATCCAACAAATATTTATTCCTGGACCACATCCTGTGCTCATGAGAGATAAATGTGTAAGACAAAGCCGCTGTCTTTAAGAATGTCCAGAGTGGGGGGCGCCTGGGTCACTCAGTCATTAAGCGTCTGCCTTCGGCTCGGGTCACGATCCCAGGGTGCTGGGATCGAGCCCTGCACCGGGCTCCCTGCTCCGCGGGAAGCCTGCTTCTCCCTCTCCCACTCCCACTGCTTGCATTCCCTCGCCCACTGTCTCTCTCTCTCTGTCAAAAAATAAATAAAATCTTTTAAAAAAAAATGTCCAGAGTGGAAGAATTGTCTTTAGATTCTAGATTTTTCTCTCCAATAACAGTTCTTAAGAATATAGGTGCAGCTTTAGAACATAGTGTCATTTCTAAATGTTGCTTACCTTTAGTGCTTAGTGCCGAAAAGAATCACGAATGATAAAGTCTTAGAAGCTAAAGGGGTTTTTCAATAATTTGCATTCCTGTCTAACACCCATCTGATGTTTGCACCACTCACTCCCTTTCCTTTGGCAGAGAGCTCCTCAGCTTTGCAGGTGAACCCCCTACCGTGGAGATCACACTGCCCAGTGTGGTCCATTCTGTCGCTAGGCAGTTCTGACAATCACAGAGCTATAATTTTACTCACTGAAGTCTGTCTCCTCACATACCGTATACTCAACAGCTCCTGCCTGGCTTTGTCAGGGCCACACAGAAGCGGCTTAAGCGGTCAGTAATCCATATCTATATGGCAGTCCTCACTGTTGACCCCGAGGAAAGTGACCAGCTCTCTCATCTCACGGTTTCCTCCTCTATCAAATAGAGATGATATTGCTTTCTCTTCTTTGTAACCAAGAGGATCAAATCTTCTTTTCAATAATACAGTATCAGGGCACCTGGGTGGCTCAGTCGGTTAAGCGACTGCCTTCGGCTCAGGTCATGATCCTGGAGTCCCTGGATCGAGTCCCGCATCGGGCTCCCTGCTCAGCGGGGAGTCTGCTTCTCCCTCTAACCCTCCCCCCTCTCATGTGCTCTCTCTCTCTCTCAAATAAATGAAATCTTTAAAAAAAAATAATACGGTATCAATTGCTGTTAGGTACCATGCCTGTCCCATAATATATTAATAATAATAATGTTACTGCTAGTAGTAGAAATAACATTCATAAATTGCCAGTAACATTAATAGCAGCACATCATGCACATTCAGCAAAATTAGATAGTGTTGCCATTAGAAGGATTTTGCACCAAGACCAAGTAGGATTTATTCCTGGCATGCAAGGATGGTTCAAAATGCAAAGCTCAATCAGAATCACCATATGACCCAGGATTTCCGCATCTGGGAAATTGAAGCAGGGGATTGAACTGACATGTGTATGTACGCCCATGCTCATGGTAGCATTATATGGTAGCCAAGAGGCAGAAATAACCCAAGTATTCAACAAATAAATGGACAAACA